GCTTCTTCGAGGACAGATGCTCAGCCAAGCTGCCAAGAAGAATAGACTGGAGAGATGTAAGAAGCTTCTATCAGCAGTTCTTGCGGGCCGCCTCTTGGACATTGGCTGGACTGACGAGAAAATCTTCACGGTCGAGGTCGCGCACAACAGCCAAAACCAGTGAATAACTGCTTTGCTCAGCAGAGAAAAACTCCAGAAATTGACGGGCAAACACCAGGAGCCTGTTGCCGAAATCGGTCATGATTTGGGCCGGGATAACATCACAATGCAAGACACCTGTCGTTATTCTTGGTAAAAAAAAACATCGAAATAATTTCGGAATCTTATAAGAATATTATTTTGAGGGGCGCACTGATGACGTGGGCCCATGAACACTTGGAGAACGAAATTTCACTGTGCAACTACGATTTCCTTCTGCCAACGTCATTTTCCTGGATCTGGGACAAAGAAATGTGGCCATCTAACTCCCCAGACTTCAACCCAATGAACTATTCCATTTGGAGCTATCTGCAGCAGAAAGTGTCTTCTTCCACCGCAGTTTGGATAGTCTGAAAGCAGCGCTTCAGAGGGAATGGCAGAAGATTGATGTCAACTAACCTGCGATGGAATCCTTTACTAAGAGATTGGAAGCTTGTGTTCTGGCCATAGGCTATCATTTCAAACAGTATCTCGAATAAATGTTCCTCTATCTAAATGTTATCATTTCATAAAAGTGCTTGAAGGGTTGCATTGTATTTTTTACGGGCGAATAAATACCGGACCATACTTTGTAGCTACCCTGTAATGTTATTGTCCAATCAAGTAAGTCTTCTGAAAGTTGATAGACCGAAGATAAATGAAATGATCAGTTGATCTGTGCAGAATATATCTGAAATTGAACTCCGACCCTTGCGTCGGATAGGCAACGCAAATCCACAGTGCACGAGTTTCCAAAGCTCGAACTTGAAGCAAACCAAAGAGCTTGGATTAGGTAACATGAAGCTCCCGTTTAGGCATTTAGCGGCGCTTGATTTCAGAGAGAAGCTTTTGACTCAAGCTTCGTTACTTCTACAATATGTGCAACTCGAACTTACTTTGACCGTTGTAGGAGTTGCTGTCAAGAGTGCGTGGAACGAATAAACCCATAATTGTACATTGCTCAGCTGGAATCGGAAGAACAGGAACAGTTGTCGCCATTGAATACATTCTCGGTGTGTTTCAAGACATCATTTACAGTTTAACAAAGACGTGTTGTGGTAGAAGCTCACACTTCCTTCTGTGCGCGTTTTGTACGTGATTCTGAGGTGTTGGTTGACCAGGGGATCTAGAAAGCCGGAAATCAGGTAATGGGTAGTGACTGGAGCGAACGAGAGCGAGAGCTAACCTAAGCCAAAGAGGCGGTCTATGGAAGACCTCCAGCTGGAATGGGAGATTGCATTGACTCCGAACTTTTCTCATCGAAGCGCTTGACCGCGATGTAGTCTTCAGTGTAATTCTTACTTTAACACATTGACGACAGCATGACGCGCATTCGCGCAAATTTTTGCACGAAATGCGGATCCTTGTGCTCGATTTATTTGGTATTTTTTATGTTAGGAAGCAGTCCGTATACACACATTCAGTGCCGCTAACGAAATTGTTGAAAGGGTAGCACTAGTCTGGGAAATAAGTATCGTAAAAAATGCATAGGAATATGAACAACGGGGTGTCGTAAATGTTTAAAATAATAACCCCTCAATCAACAAGTAACTTTCAGAGCGAATGCAGGCCGGAGTTGAATGTGCAGCAATGAATGATTTGCTGAAAGAATTACGTAATCAACGAGCTTACACTATTCAGAATGATCTAGTCAGAGCAGTACTACTACTTTCTTTTGAATACCAAAAATACAATAGGAATCTTTTCAGCAGTACCTGTTCATTCATCGCGTTATGCTGTGCTACTTCCTTGAGAAGCATAGGCAAAGGTTGTTTACATACATATTATTTTGAAACACCTGCCATACTGTTATCATAACTACTAACCAATCAGTTCGCCCACGGGAACCCTGGCATTTCTAGGGCCGATGTCAGACTTTGCGAATCGGCGATTCAGCTAGCCGTCGCGGTCGCGTTGCGGTACAAGCCTATTTGAAGAGCAGGGTGTGAATAACGGTCGAGGAAATCCTCGACCATAGCTCTCTACCATGCGAGAGTAGTGCCGAGAGTGAACATCCGCGCGGAGAGCACAGACGGCACGGCATGGCGAGTGTGAATGTCCGCGCGAGAGATCGTGTCTGATCGGGCAGAGAATCCTCGACGTGCCGTTGAGGAATCCTCAAGCGATATTCACCCTGCTTGAGTGATTCACTGGCCGCGACGCGACCGCAGACGCCAGCGATTCGCACGAATTCGCAAAGTCTGACATCGGCTTAACGGCTGCATTCATTAAACCATGCACACAGTTCACAACGTCAATATATTTTACTATGGGAACGTCTACCGGAAAATGCATTCACCGGACGCACAGGGGCAGCCCATGGCCAAAAACCAATTTTGAAAGGTGTGACCAACGTTTTGGCAACGTGGCTTGAAGGCAGTTATTACGATGACTGGAAGGCGGTGCGGTTTGATGACGTCATTGAACGCCATTTATGGACTGAACCCTTCAGCGCGCTGGCGGAGTTCTTGAGACAGCCTGATAAAGACCATTAACCAATGACGTGTGATGTCATTAAAGCCATATTGCCCTCCAGCTACCGTGATCATTGTCTTTTCTTGAAACTGTTGCTGGAAACTTGAACGCGATTCCTTTTACCCCTCGTTTTCCCTTCAGATGGGCTCAACATGTTCGCTCGTTCCTTGCTTTTGAATGCGCGATTGTCAGCCAAATCAATTTTAGAATAGGAGAAGACACGGTATAATGTGGCCATTACTGCCTTTCCGATGGGAAAGTTCTGAGTGCGCTCCTCCGAATCTCATGATTTTTTTTCTAGATATGAATCGTTATTAACTGAAGAAGTCCAAGCCAAATACAAGAAGTTCGTCGAGGATTATAACCAAGCAACAGGCACCAATTAAGCACTCCTCATTTTTAAGATACGTCATGCCATTCCATGTGTTTAAACAGTAATAAAATACCGATTGATGTGTGGAATGTAAAACACCTAGTGATGTCTCATGTTTGACATCTCTGAGCTTTAAAAAAACCACATACTCATTGTATCCGGCGGCCAGATTTGTGTCCTACGGCTCAACAAAACAAGCGGCAGTGGCCGTCACAAAATGCTGTAAATTTTTTGCCAGCGAAATGACTAGTTAGTTACAGCTGCATCCTATCAATTGTCACTATCTACAACTATCACTTATCCACTATCAATTATTACTGTCTAGCAGTTATCATATTTGACTGAGGGCGTCCTAATTTGTGGAGCCTGTAAAATTCCTGGCCTTTGAATATAATGGGTACATATAAGCACGGTTTTGAAGAACAAGCTGTGAAAATGCAAGTATGAGCAGACAAGATTATGCTGCTTCTGCACTCGTAAAACCCCATCCTCAGCTGTAAGGCCGCGCTCATACTCAGTGTTCCAGGAGGCTACGGCATTAGGGTACACGAAATTAATGCAACAACCCCAGATGAGGTCGTGTCGAACAATTTGTTCGGTGGGTAGGAAGCAGGGTGAATAACGGTCGAGGATTTCCTCGATCATCGCTCTCTGCTGTGCGAGAGTAGGCCGATAGTGAATGTGCGCGCGAGAACGTAAAGATCAGGCGAAAATCCTCGACGTGCCGTTGAGGAATCCTCAAGCAATATTCACCCTGGTAGGAAGAGTAGCCTACGAGTATCACAGATTAGGTTGTCTGCGCAGTTGAAGTTGAAAGCGAAACAATGGCGCCAGAGCTGACAAAGTGACCTGATGCGACTCAACTGTAACTTACCGAAAATCCTGCCTCGCTCAGGCAACGTGCAATCACGACGTTGTGAATCAAGATAGCAAGCGGGTGGACCAGATAGGTAGTCCTCACCGACTGATGCAGTTGCATTCGAAATTCGCCCTGGACAAATGCAACGAAGGGAAGCTTACGCCCCCCGCCCGCCTGTTGGGTGTGCCCTGGACGGTACTTGGCAAATATCCTCAACGGCCATTTTTGAATTAGTGTATCAACACCTGATGACCACGCGAATTGCTTTTTTGCCACGTGGACAGGGGCGCATTTTGTGACGCGCCACATTTTTGTGGCCGGTCCACCCGGTCCTTCAATCAGATTTTAGTGATAAATACATAAATACCGATCAATACAAAACTAGGCCGTAAATTGCAATGAGCACAGCCTACCCAGGGGTACAGCAGGAGTTTCGATTGAAAGACATTGAATACCAATGAAAAAGTGCTCAAGAGCTAGCTGCAACGGACCTCAAAAGCACTTTACGTTGTTCAATCAAAACACACATATTGCATCAATAAGGTCTCCGTATCTACTTCTACTACTATTTAAATCTTCACATTCATAAAAAGAAAAAGTAAACGAAAAATTTATTGAATGAAGATTTTCGTATGGTTTAGAAATCCTCTCTTAAATCTTAAAGCATACGTGACCACTCTAAGGGCCACCAATGTTTGCTACTCAGGTTCTCCATGGACATAACACAGAACACCTCCAAAAACCAGCTGAGCGAAAAAAATGATGTAATGGTGTCGGGGATATATTCCCGCATGCGACATGGCCTGCTATGCGCGGGATATATATCCCCGCGTTGTCGTCAATGCGTTAAGCAGATCAACACACCATGGAATAGAGTAAATCTTTCAGTTTGTGATGACGTACTAACACGATTCTAAGATTTCAGATTGGACGAGTTTGAACGGAGTTATGGCTTCGGAAAGTGTAACTCGCACTCATCATGAATTTTCCTCGTTAATTGACCTAAATTTGTTATTTCTCATTAAATTTCTTGTATTTCAATACTGATTAGAAAGAGCTCTTCACAAAACTCCCAAATCAGCTTTCAGATTGAAAATTCGTTAACTTTGAAGAAAGTTATAATCATTTGAATATTTGTTCAAATTTCAATAGTAAATAAGCTGCTCCACGGTCAACGCAAAAGTATAACTACGATATAGGGTAGTGGTCAACCAACGTGTGAGAGTTCAAGACAGAAAAGCACATACTTTCTGCTCTTCTAGGACTAAGCCTTTTAAGGAAGGAAAGAAATCAGAGACGCTGAATAGTGTGCATATGCGAGAGTGCCTAGAGAACACTACAAAACGCTGAATCACCCAGACTTTCGGTTGACCGCTGCCCTTGACGAAATGGTATATCAAGAGATGATATCATAGTGTTTGTCATGAATAGTTCGTGGTTTTTTGCTCCGTTTGGTGGCAGGGCTCATTGCTAATGATTTTTATTCGACTTTTCCTAGTATTTGAAATTAAACAACTTTCCCATACTTTGGCTTGTGAGGAGTTGAGGAGAGTCCTTTCGTGGAATTCGACCGCTGGCGAGTGGGGGTGGGGGGTCGTATTTCAAAATTTTCCTCGACGCCTCGCTTGACCCTACCAATATGAAATTTCTCCGAGTTCCAAGCGCAAGTCTGAAGAAGAAAGTTCTCATTTGAAGGTTCGCGGAGAGATATGTACGCATAAAGCACCGGATCTTGTGCTTTCTGAGTTTCCAACGCTACTCTCCACAGCATTTTGAAGACTCTGGATTAACGTTGAACACTCACAACATGCCGGTTAATCTACCTAAACAAAACGCATAGAGCAAAAATACGAATAACGCGGCCATTTCTTCGAACGTTGTGGTCCTTCAAAAAGAAAATGTTTTCATTGTTTTTTTTTTGAAGACTCTAATCTTCTAGTTTCTAAATAGCCTTAGAGATCTGCAAAAAGTCAGTTATAGAGAACTTTATCAATGTTTGATTGATGGAAACTCGCGAGTTTTCAATCATCGAAAGTATAACGGAACTATGTTTTGAAAGAGTAATCGCGGAAAATTTTCAGGTGCTTGTTCGAAAGCTCTAATCTTCTAGTTTCTAATTAGCCTTAGACATTTGCAAAAAGTTGATTATGAAGAAAGTTATGAATGTTTGAATGTCGAAAACTCGCGTGTGCACAAAAAACGGAACAACGGGACGATTTTTTGAAATATTGAACATTCGCAACATTTCAAATACTTTTAGGGAAACACTACATGAAACTTTTAAATTTTCGTATTTCGTTCCATGAAAGCAGTACTGGAGAAAGATATAATCCTTGAATGAACAGGCCCGCAACTACTGCAACGCTTCCTTTTTCACGTTTTAAAAAAGAGTATAAACGTTCGAAGAAAACTTGACAGGTAGTGCAAACTGGGTTCTTTGCAAGTGCAAACATTTCTGAGTTTATGCAAAATGTTGGAAGTTATCTTTATTTAATGATTAAAATTTCATGTTGCCTCGATTCTCCGTCCTCTGAGCGAGACAAAGCGCGCGCATTAATTTCCCACTGTGCACCACTTTCCATGTCGACGACGGCCCATACATTGATGATGGATAAATTTATGTAAAAAGACATAAATAGCTAACACACGGAGGTCTATTGATACCCTCTGAAAAGGAAAGGGGCGCAAAAATTCTGAGCGCACCGCACGGTTGACCCTCTCTAGGACTAAGCCTATGAAGAGGCAGGAACTTTGGGGTAATGGAAATTGCTAACTCACCCAGGAGCTCATTACTTCGGGGAAAATGGAAACTGCTAACGTAACCAGGAATTCCTCCTCCTTCTGAGTCTTGCCCCATTTCCAACAAAAAGATGTTTTACTCGGTTTCAAATGCATTAGCACCACAACACCCACCACCCCCCCCTCCCCACTCTACAAATGGCCTAAGCTTGCTTCCTGTTCTGCAACAACCATTCCAACAAAACCGACCATCAAGAGTGAAGGCACGAGGCACGCCGCTGCCGGCCGTCGCCCTTCGCGTGCCCTTTCGCCTGCGCCTTCCTCTCTCACCGTTACCTCTTACCCACTGTGGTTTCTCTGGCTCTAGCTTCTTGCAGAGACGCAGCGCGCAGTAGCTCCTCACTCGACGCTGACCTCCCGGAATGTTTTTTCTACCGAGTTTTGAGTCATCACAGTTTTTTGTTGCTTTCATTGCCACGATATCCATGGCTCCCTGTGTTGACATATTACGTCCATTGTAGCATATTTTCAACTGAGGATGTTGCTTTTGGCAGAGGCTTCATGTATCAGCAAACACAAATGGTCTCCAAGATGAATCAGCTTTAAACTGCTAGCTTTGGAGGCTCCTAAATCATGGGACCTTTCTTGGCAGCCATCAAAAATTGAAAATGAGGTCCGGAACAATCTCTGAGGTGAAGAGCGCATTCAGAGCATAGCTATCATTGCATAGCTCTGTGGTTGTTCAAAATTTTCTTTCTGGATTCATCCAGTAAGGGATTGGGAGGCATTGTGGTCTAGAGCGCCCAATGCTTTTTAGCCACGGTAAGCATTTTACTTTCTTGTGAATGGGCTCACATCTGGAGGAGGAGGGGATAACATCGACAGTGGACCTGCTTACAGACTTGGAACTACCCTGGGGGACTAGAAGGGATTGAGCGTTTTTTGTTACCTTGCTGTAGTAGATGTTATAGGGCTTAAGCTTATGCCAGTATAGTGGTCAGCTGGCAGCGGATTTGAATGTTCTGTTGCACTATCCCTTCCCATCCAAACTCATGAGGCCGTGCTGTGAATGTTAGGCGAAGCTGCTAGGCGATATCTAATCTCCCTGCCAGGTTGCTTTCGATCCAGGGCAGCAGCCCTAACTTACTGCTCTTAGTGTGGTCGCTCCTTTTGTCTAGACGTTGGGTTAGGCATCCAGCCAAGAGATATTCAAAAACTGATGGTAGTTGTAAACCGAGGTTTGATACCGGCCATAATTGTAATACAGAATGCGCAGTCGGTATCTAGCTTGGGTTCAGCAGGGAATGCTGGATATGATGAGACTTGCTCTAGCCAGTTTAGCTCCAAAGAGATATCCTTTACAAGTAGGACTGCCAGAGGCAATTGTCTAGGCATTTTTCTCAAGTTTATATGTTGTATGTGTTTCTTGTGTTACGTTGCTCTGATTCGATACTATGAACGTGTAGAATGTATGTGATTACCTAGGGCGCAGCAGGGGAAAAGGCTATGCTACTGAGAGCAAGGTTTCTGGAGGAAATGGAAACTTTTAGCGCCGACGGGGTCTCTTACTGCTCCAGTGCGATGCACTTAGTGCGGTGATTGTTCACAATGAAGTAAATTTGCTTCGGTTTCAAACCAGTGAACGCTCTGCTCCGCCTGCCGACTACGGGAAAAAATATGGGTATTATCCAAACTGTTTCGCATCGGGTTATGTCTAGCACATGCAAGTGGTGCGTAAGTGCTTCCCGACATTCCGCATAATTATTTTTTATGACGCGAGTTAATTTTTTTCAATATTCCGTAGTGTGTAGGTGCAGAGCGTGCATCGGGTATCCATACTTACATCCATTCTAAGCTGTCTCATCCGCTTTTTCTGTACACTACGAATGCCTAGTTGCATTTTTTTAAGCAAGATTGTTCCTGCAATAACTTTTGCAATCTTTTTTAATACCAGATTAGTCCCCCGTCAACCGCCGGGACCTTCCTTTCCTGCGCAAGCTTTCTATCCTCCGCTATGGTCCCTTCCTCCTGTGACACCAACACCTCCTGGAAGTGACGCGTATGCAACACAATGGTGTTTCATACAGTAGAAGGGACACAATCATGATATGACGGTAGATTTTTCGCTTCCCTTCCTCTCTCCACTGCCCTCCAGCTGCCACTGCAGCACCATGTGGAATGAACGGAAGTGTGCTAAGCAGGTGTTTATATAGCCCTAAGAGTGTTATCACAACTATCCTGCTACAAAACATTGATATCTCAAATCCTGTAAGCTACCCGATTTGTTAGCGGTTTGTTTATCCCATGAGCTTCCTTCTCACTCACTTCATTTTGCGGACGGACACACATACATACATACACTCGATATCGAGTTGGGGTAGGTGCGTGACACCGGAAATGACGTGCGGCCTATCGCGCCGTGATCCATGAAAAGCTATGTGGATGAGCTGGTTCCAAAATTATATCGCTAGATATCAGCAAGGTGCGGAGCAGGGCGGTTATCAACGATTCTTGATCCAAGTGCATATTGCGGTGCAAATACTCCACTCACGATCGACTGTACCTACCGACCAACACATTACGGATACACAACGACCACAAAGTTGGCGCGCTTTTAGAAAATAGAGGAAACATCAAGTTATACGACCTGGTATTTCATGGAAATCAATTCCCAACATATTATGCATAACATCCTGTTTTAAAAAGCGCCGACCATTTCGCTCGAATGCTCTCGTAAAATTTGGCGAAACTCGCATCTTATTACAAAGTCGCTTAGACAAAAATTTGTGGTTGTGAAACAACCTATCACTGAAGAAATCGTATAACCTTCGGATAAACGAAAACAAAGGGGCGTTTTTTCTCAAAAAAGGCATGTTAGTGGTAGAAGTAGTGGTAGGATTGTTAACTCTAATATTTTCTTTACTTTTAATTGAGTTTTGTCAACTATGATCGTCTTCAGTATTCCAAAAAAATCATCAACATCATCTGTGCCTACAAGGCTTATCGTTAGTCTGTGGTTCCGCTGCAATTCGAAACCACCCATGGTGGCTAGATATTAATGGTCCCTAGGACTGCCGCGGCGGTGAGGTGAGAGCTTGAATGGCAAAGCGTACTCTTGTACAGTAGTGAGACTACGTTTGTTACTAAGAAAGCAGAGATTCTGTAATGGTATGCATGTGTGAGAGCTCACGGAAAACCGTGTTCAGGGATTGCAGTTCCTGTATCCTGCATTGTATTCATCAATTACCTTGACCTGACATTGTGAGTATTATTGCACGCCTGAAATAGCGTAAAAAGGCTCCTGTCTGTAGCGGCCCTTTGTGTTCGACTGGTCAGCACTCGAAAAATGTGCTGAACGCTTCCTAGTTTTTCCACAAATAGCAGCGTTTTATTTTGTAGTTCGCTGCTTAGTGAAATGCATATGCAGGAGCTTTGTTTCTACTAAACATTTATCTGACCGCTTGTTCTTTTTTGTATGTTCCTCAATTTCAAACGCTGTGTATGAACGCAATCTTGTGAGTACATATAAGTTCCCTTTTTTACGTGTGCCTGTTTCAGACTGTTCGATGACTGAAATCGACACTCAAGCAGAACTGGATTTGTTAGGAGAAGGCCCTGCAGCGACTGACGGTGATCACCTTGACGAGCATGCTCTCCTAGACCAGTAAGTCGTGCTACCCATCTTGAGTACAACGGTGTCGAGATTTATCCTCCATGTGTTGGTTTCAAAGCCATAATATCACTACAACTATTTTTGAAGTTCGTTTGACCGAAGCGGCCACGGGAAATGGGACCTCTTTTTTGTCCGTAATTTTCCATTTGAGGCTAGTATCATGAGTCCTGATGTCGTCAATGTGAACGTTCTGCTCTACGTCTGCTAAAAGGCGCGGATAGAGAAGCTACACCCTAAGAGCCATGGCTAAGTGCGGCGGGAAAAAAAAGAAACAGAAGATCAGAGAGACGCCTGAGAACTATGACTAGGAATCGAACGCAACCCGTTGTAAGGATACCCGTAAGGCTGGTGTCAGAGTCCGCGATCCGTCGCAGCTTTCGCTCGCGATTTGCGCGATTCACGCGATTTGCGCGATTTGCGCGATTCACGCGACGGGTCACGGAAATCACAAGTGCCCGATCAATACTGCAAGGTGTTCCGCCAATTCTGCTTGATAGTGATGGCTGAATGAAAACTGCTCACGATTCCACTTCTGACGGCGTTAATTTGGTACTAGACTGAGCCCAATCGTTCGTCTTTAGCTTCCTCATTCCTGACGTGAGTTTCATATTTAGTGTTTCAAATGTTCAAATACAGCACTTGCATTTTTGCGATCCGTCGCAGGTTCGCGCAAATCGCGTGAATCGCGCAAATCGCGAAAATCAGCGAAACCTGCGACGGATCGCGGACTCTGACACCAGCCTAAGTACACTCGAGCGCAAAACACAGAGCACTAGCAAATAAGCACGAATAAGGAAAAATGTGCAGGAACTTCCTCATGCGGAGTTTTCTCGAAGTGATCCGATTCAGTTTTCGCGCACAAGCTACGTTGCTTCTGCTCTCGTCTGAGCTCTCTCGGTGAAATAGCGTGCTGTTATACCACAAACCAACCAACCACACCTTCTCTCCCTTCTGACGGCGTTAATTTGGTACTAGACTGAGCCCAATCGTTCGTCTTTAGCTTCCTCATTCCTGACGTGAGTCGACTCGCATTTCCGTTTTGATCCTGTGCATTCTGACTCCACGGTTAGCCGAACGTCCAGAGGTTTAGTTCACTTTATTTAGGACAGGATCGGCCCGTTTTATTTGGCCTCCCAGTGGCCTCTTTACACCATTTGTAAACCAAGTAGCCCAACTACTGTCTCTCGAACGCACCACATGATCTGCGTTGCACCAAACCAAAATGGCTACAAGATCAGGGGATAATAATATTCACACTGTTTTTAGAACACCACCTCCTGGCGATGACCATAATGGAGTAAGCCATGTCAAGTCTGAGGAGATGAAAAATGAGGAAGTTGACCTTTATGATGATGCTATAGCACCATCATCTGGTGAGAAATCTGTGGCTCCAACACCAGTACGCACCCACAGCACTCAACAGAATGGATCGTCTTCACATTCACATCCGGATGGAAAACGGTAACGTCCAATGTTTAGTTGTGATCGCTTCATCCAATGCAACATGTTTTAGTTACTGCTGCTACATTGGTAACTTGGTTTGGTGGGCAACGGATGCCGATGTTGCGGTATGTTTTTATTCGGTTGTGTCAGCTGCTTGTGATTTTTCGTTTATTCTCAATCATACCCATTTTGCTCATGTGGTCGTTCATGCTCTTATTTTAGCAACACGTCAAACAAATTGGAATAACGGATTTGATTGATATGAAGTTTTTTGAGAACAGAACAAATGGGCAGAGTAAAGGATTTGCATTGCTTGTTTTTGCGAGTGATTCATGTGAGTTTCCTTCTATGTTTTTTTTTTTACATTGGCTCCGGTGCAACATGTAGAACGGTTTGAGCCAAGAGGCGACGTGAGTTATCGATGGGTAGTTATTTAAGCTGTACGAACTGTCACTGAGCAAATGCCACAACGCCAAATTCACGGGCAATCACCTGTCATTCTTCCATATACTAAAGCATCTTTGAATCGATTGGATGAGGCTACTTCTAAAATGCAGAGTCGACCGGATCCGAAACAAGCTAAGAAGGTCTGCTTCAAAACTTTCTACTTTGTATGGTTCCTTTTCTACTTTTGCTTTCTCTAAGCTTGTGCAGCTTAAAATGAGTCAAATAGTTGTCATATCTCTATTTTAAGGCTGATACTGCTATTTTCAAGGAAGAGACATGTATGAATATGGGAACGATACGCATTGGAGCCACAGCGGCTGTGCCTGCTGGACCACCACCAATGTTGGGACCACGTATGGGACCCGGTGCGCCAGGAGAGACAGCCGATGCCGATGAATGCGATTCGACCAGGTCCTGGTGGCCCTCCCATGAATATGGGTGGTGGCGGTGCTCCCATGGGCGCTGCTGGAACAGGACCTATGGGGCCCGGAAACATGATGAATCGAGGCCCAGTTATGATGGGACAACCAGTAAATCAGGTTTGTTCGAAGTAAAGGAGACTCCAGGTTATCTCAATAAAGGGAGAAGGGTGCAATAGCTCGCGCCTTCTGCAGTAAATCCAATTTCTATCGACGCGAGAGGCTGGATATTTTTGGGGTTGCTAAACGTTGTCGCTTCTTTGACACCTCTAACGCTGGCGGCTTCCTTCTCATGCAACAATTGTTACTTAGACGGACCCCACAGCGGTTGCACCTTGCAAAATTTGCCCTTTGAGTGATCGACTGTTTTGTTGTACTTCATTGGGTTGTTTATATCAAGAAGTTGAAGGGTCGGTTCGTAGTTCATGAGGGATGGATGGGATCGTCCAATGGGCGCCTTGGAGTAGGCACCTATCGGAGCAGTGCAAATCAGTGGCCCTGTTCAGATGGGAGTTGCTGGCCAGATGACATCAGGTCCACCTCGTCCAATGATGGGAGGTAACATGCCGATGCACATGGGCACTGCACCTCCTATGATGCAACCAGGAATGCAAGTGCATCCGAAGTGAGTTAGGAATTTCGGCTCCATAGTTTTATCTTATTTAAATGTATGCGCTTATACAATATTGTTTAGTCGACCTCCTCCCGGTGTCCAGTTTGGTGGTGGTCAGCAACCGGTTATTGGAATGGGACAGCAGCAGATGGTCCAGCAAGGTGCTCCCGGTATGCGTACAATGGCTGCTCCTACATCAGGCCCACATCAGCAGCTAATGGCTCCTCATGGTGCTCATATTAATCCTCAAGTAGGTGAACTTGAACAAACATCTGCTTTCAATGTGTGCTGCCAAGATACCCTCCACTAGTCCTCACTACGTAGCTTGCCGACAGCCCATTGTCATTTTCTTGTCACGTTTGATGTTCCACCGAGCGTTGCCTTCTGTATAGTGCAGCGAGAGTGAGCGAGCAATAGGCTACATGCTCAAAGGAGCGAAGGTAGAGCGAAGAATCGCATTGAGCAAGCAGCGTACACTTGGTCCCCAAACCTGAGCAGATTCAACACATGCAAATGTGTTTGATGTTCATTCAAATGATTTTTTGAGACCGCCACCACATGCGCTGATTTTGTAGAACACCACGGTACACGTTGTTGTCTTGCGATTTTTTGATGCTGTTAATTATTTAACACCCATGTTGCTAAGCCTCATTAACGTCTCGTTTAAGTGTGGGAGACAAGGTGTACATGGCCGCAGATATTTCCAAGGCCAGACATAGAAAGAGCGAAAAAGAGTGATGCGTTATAAAGGAGGCTGATATTTCCTGTTTATTGGTGCCGAGAGTCATCGTGTGTGTGGGTATGCCGGAGTGCGACTGCCGTGCATTGTTGCTCTCCTTTTCGAAACTCAGCCAAAGTACGCGCCTCATGGCAAGCAGTGACGTACTTGTGCGTCTCAGTTAGAGTGTGAACATAAGTTACAGTACGAGTGTGAAATAGATTCATATCGTTCGTGCGATCGCATGATTGATACGTACTTATTCCACACTTGAATTGCAAAGTAAAACCCGACTTTTCATCAAGGGAGCTCCTCAACCCAGTGTAACACAAATGGTCCAAAATTTGACTGCTCAGTCTTTTTGCATTTTGTAGATACGTTTGCGTTCTAGGGGCGTACCCAGCTGCCCTCCAGTAGTAAAAGCGGCTTCTCGACTTTCAATAGAAACATTTTTTGTAGCTAGTAATATTTTTCCTGTTGTCATGTATCACCATAAAGCGCAAACAGTATTGCTTGGCAGAACGGTATTAAAATGTTCATATGGCAAGATCGCGGCGAGAAAAGTGTTTGTAACGATTTGCTGTGCTATTTAACTGATATGTGTAACTTCAGATGTTCCCCGGTGTTCAGCAACAACCTCCAGTGCCAGGAGCTATGAACGATGTTGAATTCGAAGAAATAATGAACAGAAACAGGTTAGCCTAAAGTAGTAGTAAAGATACATCAACGCAGAATTACAGTAATATGAGGAGTGTCGAGTATGAATACATGTTCAGGACTGTCGCTTCCTCTGCGATTTCTCGAGCGGTCGCAGACGCCGCAGGAGGTGACGTGAAGTCAGCAACGGAAACTATTTTAACGGCGATCTCTCTTATAAAGCAAAGTCGTGTGGCGCAGGACGATCGTTGTCGTGTTCTCGTTGCAAGCCTACAGGTAACTATTAGAATCGCGAGAAATCCGCAGTACAGTTTCCTTCACAAACTGGAGCTCATGCCTTAGAAAGGCTAACCAGGAACGGATGATTGGTCGAAGTGGCCATATGTAAAGAGACCTACACCGGTGGATGCGTTTTTGGACGCTGATCTCGAATCTGCTTTCCAAATCTGCCAAACGATTTTCCGAATGGAGTTATGAAGGAAAGTAGTGCAGCGGTAGTAGTCCGGGTTCACGTGCGAGACGTCGTAGGATCGATTCCCTGGCGGGTTCTCTTTTTTGCCTTCGCTGCAAAATGATGAAAAGGCTCCCAGCTACCTTACTCGATCAATGCTTGCCTGTAGTTACCCGTGCAAAGACTTTGCGAAGAGTTTCTAATCAGTTTCTGCGGTACTCACTAAGACTGCACATGGAGCCCACAGAACTCTTGGCAGACGTTTTTGCAGCAAACAAGTGTGATATTCGTGTTCCGGAGATTAAAATACCCCTAGGGACAAGTTTGTAGCCAAATTTGAGATTTCGACCAAATTTCGAAATAGGCTGGGTGGGTATCTATCCATTCATCCATCAGCCTATTATCGAAGCCTACATAGCCTTGAAACGATATACGTTTTTTTGGTTTCTGAAGAGTGTAAAGCAGTGTCTGGTTTCTGTTAGCATGATTTCAACACCACATTTTATTATTTTCAAATTTAAAGGGTCGCCGTCGTCCAAAATAGGTCAACCCTGGAACTACCGGCTATGGATATGTAGCATCAATGAGTGACTCGCCCACTTTTTTGAGATTTAATTCAAAATCTCGAATTTTTCTAGAAATCGGCCCCAGGAGTTATTGGACTGCTTGAACACAGATCTCACATTCGTTCACTCAAAAACGGCTGAAGCGCGCGCTCCGTATACTGGCGCGCCTTAACCTTATGTAGTGGCATGCAAGTTAGGAAAAATTTCGAAGTTATCGACCTCAGACTCATTCAAAAGCAAGTAGGGCTGACCAATGATGAAGGAATCATGTTTCACTACTGCCAAACAGTCAGTCACAAAAATGCAAAATGGAAAACAAGCGGGATCCGAACCACTGACCCCGAAATCCCAAGCCCACCACCTTAACCACTAGGCCACCAGCACTCGATGAGAAAGGCTCACTGCTTCCTTCACAAGCCGCTGCTGCTGAGGCCTCATTTCTCACTGTGTTAAACTGTGTGAGGGAACAAAAAACCTCCGTAACTCCGTTCAGCGAATCGTTTGGCAGATTTGGGAAGAAGATTCGAGATCAGCGTCCGAAACCACATACCATGATACTTGTCTCATTTCATATGGCCACTTCGACCCTTCATCCTTCCCTAGTTAAGTTGCACTTTACAGTCGCAGTAAGTAATTCATTCAAAAAAAACACATCATCGAAGTTGCTCCCAACTACATCTATCCAAGTCGGAAGACTTGATGAACGGCATTGAGTGGAGAACAAGCGGTGTCGAGCAACGAAGAAGTAGTAGTGAGCAAGTCAAGGGCATCGGATCACCGTTCATTAATTCTACGCTGCAGTTCTTCTTGCTTCTGTGCCCCGAAACCGTCGACTGTGCGCGCAGTTTTACCGTGCTGTTAACGTTATTAAACGCGGAAAGAACTGTGCTCAAAGGTTCCCTAGCTGCGTAAAATGCTTTGAGTGCCAAATCGACAGTCGGATTCAAGTTCAGGGTCAGCCGTCCGTTTGCGTCAAAAGTCAACGATGGGCAGGGTCGTATTTCGTTCGACGGACGAGAAATGGTGCGGCATTTGCAGAGTGAGCGTACGCAGGAAGGTGATCTTCACAGATGTAGGAGTGTAGGGGATGGTTAACGCTGTAAAAGTGCTAAATGTTTGCAAAAGAAGTGTGAAAAACCTGTTCCTAGGATAATTATGAAATTGAAACACTTTTCAGAAATTTTTGACTTGTTTTTGTTTGTTAACTGCTGTTTTTGGCCGCAGTTCGCCTTGCGAATGTTTCACAAGAATGCTGGGTTGTGAACAAAACTTTCGCCCCAGGCGGGACTAGAACCCAAAAAAAAAAAAAAAACAAAAAAAATCAAAAACCCGCCACTCCGGCGTTTTCCGACACAAGTGCGCTACAGTACGCTAACCCAGCATTCTTGTGAAACATTCGCAAGGCGAACTGCGGCCAAAAAACAGCAGTTAACAAACAAAACAAGTCAAAATTCATTGCTAAAGCTTTCAGCCTCGCGGTCATTGCCGATATCGGCTAACCGGCTCAACACGTTATACGTGTGAGTGCTGAAAGCTATGGTACGTATACCATGAAAAGCTGAGTTGGAATGAAATGGTGCCCCGGTAGCGTAACTGGTAGCGCACTTGCCCGGAAAGCGAGAGGTGCGGGTTCTAGTCCCGCCTGGGGCGAAAGTTTTGTTCACAACCCAGCATTCTTGTGAAACATTCGCAAAACATTATACGAAGTGATACGAGCACGAAAAACATTAGTTTCCTACTTGTGTTCGTTTTCCTTAGAGTCTAAGTTTGTGGGAGTCGTAAACCATTTGAAGCTTGAAAACTTGCGTTCTCGGCAAAGTCGCTTAAAAAGTTCAGGCGATGAAAACCTACCAGCGGGGCAATTTTTAGACTTCATCAATTTCGAAATGAATTCGGGTTTCTGTTAGAAGCTCCAACTATCTACTTTTTACTTGGGTAAGAATCGCAAAAAGTTGAACTGATGGAAAGTCATTAGAAGTTTGAAGCCAAAGAACCAGGGCGTTGCCAAAAATCGGACCACGATCTACCAAGAACCGGTCCAACTGGGCTATTTTCTGACTCCATCAATTTTGAAATGAGTTGAAGTATTCGTTAGAAAGATCTAGTCTCCTAGTTTCGTGTAGGTTGTAAAGAATTGTCAAAAGGTGAGTCTGGAGGAGAAAACGGATAACAGGAGGGCCGCCGCTCCATTGGTCTGAGCTTCATAAATACTGTGATTGAGCGAATGATTGGGTTGCTTTCAACTCAAGCGAGGAGATTTCTGGCTAAGCTAAGTCGAGCAAAGAAGTTTTTCGCATCCGTACGGAAACTGCGGTCAACGCAATGGCAACTTGTCCTCCCTTTGATGGAGAATACTATTATTACACCTACCTTACCTGTGAAATTTGTTATTATGGTGCCGTGGTTTGTACCACAAATTGATTGTCAATCTTCATTACAATTTTCCCATTTATCGCGTTGCGCTGATGTTGCATAAAATCTTCATTCATTTCAAAAAAAAAAAAGAATATTGGTGCACTTCGTCCAAATAACGAAGGATGCGTTATAGCTTTCATCGTCAACAAACACTGGTCTTTTGATAGGCTCACTTTGTTATTTTTCTTTGATTCGTTTTTACTCCTCAAACTGTTCCCACTGCGTTGAAATTATTTGAGCAACTGTTTATTTAGGATACGCTGAATGGAATTGAAACCAAAGCGTATTCGGGTGGTGGAGGAAGCAGTCGTAGCAAGCATCGCGATAGATCACGTAGCCGCTCCCGCGATCGCGATCGCAAGCGACGACGCCGTAGCCGTTCAAGGAGCCGGTATGTTGTGTATTGCAGTACTTATTTTTGCCTCTCATTTGAAGTCAGAAACATCAACGTTCGCCTCTCTCTTTGCTCTTCAAGGATTGACCGCTTCCTTACTGGATTTCCAAAGCCTGTAAAGGAAGCAAAGTTGCCTAACCGAAGCTTATCAGA